AGGCGATTTTGCTTATATATAATTGCCTAAACTTAACCTAACCCTAATATAAGATGACCCTAACCCTAAAGTTAATCGAGAAAATTATTAAGAAATATGGGTTGCCCCCGCTTTAGACGTTTCCCTTTTATGTACTGTACGTACTGTACTACAGTAACAAAAAAAATTCGCCTACGTACTAACCCAGGCTGGGATTATCTGGAATTAGTAAATATTAGTAAATGGGTCCAATTTGTCTTTACAGCTTATATCAAAAAGGAAACGCTAATAAATATGCTAGTCTATTTTATAACACTAGTACTAATTATCAATTATATAGCTAAGCAACCTATTACTTGACTTGTATATGCTTAACAATTGCTAATGAAAATCAAATAGAATACGTAATAAAGATTAAAATAAATTTGAGCGCACATTTTTGTGCTGTAGTAAATCTTGTACGTATGTATTACACAAATACATGATCATGTATTACCGTGCGTCACCAACCTAATACTAAAAAATTTTCGTCATTAGATTCATATCGATATCTTTTTTGTATCTCATTTAACATTTCAGTAAACATTGTAAATTTTAAACAGTGGAAAAATAAATTTAAAATAAAGAAAATTATGACAGAATCTATGGTTGAAGAAAACCAGGGAATATGTGAACAATGTAAACAACCAAATATTAGCCATAAATGGTGTAAAGATTGCAATTCGAAACATTTTCAAAAACAGTTCAGTAATTGGACAAGTAATAACATTATCATTGATAAATTTATCCAAGATATACAACTTAAAGCAATTAATAAGTATCAAGTTATAGAATGGATTCCATACGAAAATTTTTTAAATGTTGAATATCTTGCTAGAGGTGGCTATGGAGAAGTATTTAAAGCGAAATGGAAAGATGGTTGCATTCAATGTTGGGATCATAAAAATCAAAAATGGGATAGAACTATAAATAAACTAGATGGTTTAGATGTTGTTCTTAAAAGCTTATATGATTCAAAAGATATAGCATCTGAATTTTTGGAAGAGGTAATCTAATTATTAAAATTTTTTTTTTTTTTCTTAAAAATGATTTGTTCTAATACAGTAATTTATAATTAACCATCTTTTGATAATAATCATCTTAATATTTTTAGATAAATTATCAAATAACATCAGTTAGTTTACGAGATTACATAGTTCAATGTTATGGAATAACTAAAGACCCAAATACAAATAATTTTATGATGGTTATGAAATATGCATCAAATGGTAGTCTTCGGAATTATTTAAATCAAAGCTTTACAGACTTGACATGGGGAGAGAAATTATACATTTTGTATACTGCAGCTGAAGGTCTCGTTGGAATTCATAGTGCAAACTTGATTCATAAAGATTTTCACGGAGGGAATATAGTTATAAATGGTCGAATGTCTTTAATTACAGACTTTGGATTATGTAAACCAGTAAACCGTAATTTGATAACAGAATCTAAACAACATGTCTATGGTGTTCTACCATATATTGCACCTGAAATTCTCTGTGGCGAAAAATATACACAAGCAACAGATATTTATTCTTTTGGAATGATCATTTATGAAGTTGCAACTGGGTTTCCCCCATTTTATAATATTCCGCATAATGAAAATCTTGTTTTACAAATTTATCAAGGTTTTCGTCCGGAAATAGATTTAAACAATACACCAGAATTGATTAATGATCTGATTTTGAGATGTTGGCACGAAAAATCCTAAATGTCGACCGACTGCTAAAGAATTGAAAGATATTTTAAAAATTTGGTTAAAAGAGTATGATGATTATCTTCTTAATAACAAGCAGAAATATTCAGAATTATGGAATCAAATTGTTACAATAGAGCAATCTAAAAATGAACAATCTTCCAATACTCAGATTAATGACACATCATCAATACGTTTGAATTATACAACACATCCTCAAGCTGTTTATACAAGTCATCTTATAAATGTTTCTCAATTTTGTAAGTCGATCCTATATAGTTTGTACTGTTTTGAATTTACATTATTTACATCTATAGATATTCTAATACAATTTTATTTTGTGAATTTTATTTAACAGCTTTAAAAGTTTCCGATTCTATTAAATAAGTTCTTTTGCAATCTGTTGCTAAAAAATGTACCTATATTGGCAAAAGCAACTTTTATTTAGTATAAAAAAATATTAATACTTTTGTCGTCAATCCTTTTTAATGATTGTTTCATATTTTAAATTAGGATTAAATCGCAACTTTTTCAACCTTGCACCTGATCGAGAATTTAAAGGCAACGAGCGTATTATAATCTGACCCATTAAAAGTTTATGTTCCGTTTGTATTTGTTTATACACTATTAAAAAGGTATATTTTTACTGAAAAAAAGTTTATTAAAGTAGATGTGATAAATATTGCTATTACAGTATTAATTAAGTTAGTAATATCAGCTCATTTGTGAAATAAACGATTTTATTGAACTTGTACGCTCTATAGTCGGCCCCTTATAAACGCACTTCCTTGTGACTTACCCTCTATAAATGCTTATCATTTGACCAAAATTTCGATTCTGCATTTCGAATAGTCATTATCATACGTTACAATTAGATGCTTCATAATTGCACTTTCCCCGAAGAGTACATTTATGGAGTGTAGCATAACGAAAATCTAGAAGTAAAAATTTAAGTTTCACCATAATAATTTAGCTTCAAAAATAAATCTTGCATGTACTGTACTACTAGTGTATTCTTTTAATATTTTGCAGCACTTAATTATTAATTAATGATTACAATGTTTTTTTTTCTTAATCAATTTCTTTATTTTGTATTGATTCATTAGATATGCACAATATGTCAATTATCAATTGAACATTAATATAATCAAAACATTAATTCATTTCTCATTAAACTTTTGATTCGTATTGATTTAAACTATAAGTATGACAATTATTTATTGGTTTAAATATTTGATATCAGTTCTCAATCTATAAATTCTTCTTATTTGTAAAGGTTTTAAAAAAAGTAGAGTCTCTGTAGTTGAATTTAAATAGGATTGTCTTAGAGATATTATGGTTTGTTAGTACTGTATTTAGTTTATATAGGAGAAATTTAATTATATCTGTTAAGTTGCTAATTGTATTAATAATTTTGTTCTTAGTTCAGATTTTTTTATCAAAAGAAGTTTGGATCTTGTCTTTTTTTCTAGTTATTAGTTAGAGGAACTAGTTTGATTTATAGTCTTCTCTTATTTTTTCTTCAAAAATTATCATATTTAAATTAGTATTTTGTTTAAGTACTTGACTATAAGAGAGTTGTAATTATTTTGATATTTACATATTGGTATTATAGTTGTTAGTTGTTAATTCTTCAGTTATCATATTGTTAAAATTATTACTGTTAGAGCTGGTTAAGTATTCTGCATGTGGCTTAATTTGTTATACAGAAATTTGTTGATTATCTATTTCTTGTTTTTTATTTGGGTTGTTAGTCATGTTGTAATTTCTTATAACTATTATATTTGTATTGTTGTGACTATTTTCAGTTGTTGTTATTGTTATACTAAATACATGTAATATGATATTGTGTTTTGAAAAAAAGTAAACTAGTTTATTCACTTTTTGTCTTTTTGTCTTATAAAATATATTTTGAAAAATTGAATTATCAAAATGCAATTTTTTATAATTATTATAATAATTATTTTAGTAGATCTGATGATCTTAGTGTAGTGGTTAAATTGTCAGACTACTATATAAGAGGTCTGCAGTTCAAATTCCACTATTAACAAATTTGAATAATTACCTAGATCTTTGTATCTAACTTATAGTAAACTCTGTTTATTCTGTAGTTGTAATTCTATAAATCATATTGAATTAATATCAATCAGATATTGGAAATATAACAAAAAAATCAAGTATAATATAATATTACTCAAATAAATCTTGATAAAATCTATGAGCAGAAGATTTGCATAGTAGAAATTCTGAATTAGATGAGGTAGTATAAATTTTAATAGTCATGCTAGCTTGATACTTGATCTGAAAGAAGTTTAGATACAAAAAATACAGATCAAGTAGATATGAGTAAGTTCATAGTATAACAGAAAAGTTAAGTATAATGTAACATTACATAAATAGCAATACCAACTTGGCTTAGAAGCTAACTGAATTTGGGAGGATCTATCTTGTGAAATATTCAGAAGAACTAGACCAATCTGGTAGAGAATTATAGATAGAACTAGATTTGTACAAATATCAATAAGAGTATATGCTAGCTTAATTGAGATATAGCATAGCATAGTTAGAGTTATTTGCAAGCTCTCATCAGAATAGGATATATTGAAATACTTTCTGATAGAGTTTAGTCCTACAAAAACAATTTGAAATACAAGCTGGTCTGAATAGTCTTCAAATGAGGTAGCACAAGATTAGTGTAGATATAAAAATATTAGATTAAATATAGAGTTTCATCATAATATTAGGGAGTTTAAATAGAGTATCTACAAGCAGATACTAGATATAGCAATTAGTAGATAATCTATATAGTAAAACCTATAAATAGACAATGACTAAAGTCATATATGTAGCTAATTGTATTCTCACTAACAAATATAATTTGAAAAATAATATCTAATAAAAAATCTGCAGACAGCTTGTTGAAATATAAAATAAAAAAAAAATAATTATTTTAGTTGTTTTAGTTATTTTTAATACTTTCTAATACTATTTTGTTATCTATTAATAAAGTATATATATAATAGTTAGAGGTTTTAAATAACTTTTTTATATAGTTAGATATTGCTTAGTCTTTAAAGAACAGATTTGTTTTATTGTAGAGACTTTTTCTCTTGTTAGAGTTATCAGTTTGAATTTTATTAGATAGTAATATATTTAGTATAAAGTTTTATAGTTTGTTATATCTGAAATAATAATTAATTATTTAGTTATTAAAAGTAATATATATAGTAGTTGTTATTTTTCTTTCTTCTAATTTTTGTTTTTTAGTAAAAAAAATAAAATTTCTAATAATTAAAATTAAATAAGATTTACTTTAAATAAACTAAAACAAAAAATTTAAGTTAAAATTAGTATATTTCTCAATTCATTATATAAATTTATCTCTATTTTTTTTTATACTAATTTTATAAAGATAACAAATAGCTGTTTTTTAAATTCTATTAGAATTACTAGCTTTAGCAATTTTCAAATAATATGAAGATACTTGATACTTATCAACTTCAACTCTAATTCTTAAATAATAACAATAACTAACTTGATACATCCTATTAGAATTGTTTATATCTACTAATTTTCAATATTGTAAGAATACTTTATTTCGTCTTTTTCAATATTAATTCTATATTTGTAATAATAACTAAGTCTAAAAACTCTATCTGAATTGTTTATATCTTCTAATTTTTAACAACTAGTAAAATATAGTTAATTAAAATTATTAATTAGTTTAATCAAATTTTTGTTTGATATTTTGATTAATAAAAAAAAATAAAAAAATAGATATATATTAAGTTGATATATTTTTTATTTATTTATAATTAGTAATTTAAGCTATAAAATTTTAGTCTATACTTCTATATTTATTTTTAGAATTTTATTATATATATACTAAATTATATAATTTTTAGCCTCATTAGTCCTATAGTTAGCTGATCTAGCTAGCTTAGCTAGCTAAGCTATAGCTTACTATAACTAGCTTAAATAATTATTTATAGTAATGATATATAAAAAAATTATATTCTAAGTTATAAGCAGGTTTTAGCCTACAAATATATTTACTAATTTCTTCTTATACTTTTTATTAGTTAAATTTTTATGATTATTATAAAATAATATTAAATCATATGATTAAAAAGAGAAGTAATATATATTTAATCTATAAAACCAAATTAATATACTAGTAACTTAAACTCTTATAAGGCAACTGATTAAAGGTTGAATGAATAATGCAACTAAACATAGTACTAAATATCTAATACAGGAAGCAACTAATAGTATAATATAAAATTATTCACTTGCTTTTGTGTAGATAAAATCTTAATAGTTATAATAATCTATTTATTTTTTATTATTATTGTTAAAAAATATAAAAATTTTATTTAGATTAGAATAAAAGTTAGAGTTATAAGATAAAATATAAGAGTAAAATTGTTATACAAAATTTGAACTGAATTTTTTGTTTTTTTGTTTTTTTTTTTTTTATTATTTATTATAATATCAGTATAGAAAAAATAATTTTAGTACAATTTATATATCAAGATGATATTATTTATAACTATAGTTTTTCTATTTGTATTCATATTTCTTTAAAAGTCATCAGATATGATACTATATTTCCTATTTTCTATGAATATCTAATTTAAATAATTGCTATTATTACTATTAGAAATAGAGAGGTTAGAAAAAACCTTATTGATAAAAATAAAAATAAGAAAAATTATGAGATGCATGAGAAAAGTGAGTAGTTTTGTAAGAACTATCTTGTAATATAGGTATCTATGTTAGTTAGATGTTGAGTTTGTATAGAAGTTTTTTTTGGGAGTAGAGATTAGTAGGTTGTAGGTTTTGTTTTTTTTAGTTAGTTTTATAATATTCTGAGAAGCTTCCTATATATACTAGTATTGGTTTCTTAGTTGCTAAATATTTGAGTAAAACTAGTTTAAAGTATTGTTTACAAGTTTAGTAAAGAAGTTTGTAGTTAATTTGTTAAGTTTGTGTTGAATTTGTATAAAAAGTTGTTGTAGAATAGTTCTTTGAATTATGTAAAGAAGTAGGTTTGAGATAGAAGTTTAAGTAGAATTGTTGTAAGCTATAAATATTGAAATAATAGTTTGTATGGAGTGATTTACAATATTTAAAGATGTGATGGTTTGGTTAATTTGGTGTTGAAGTATAAAGAGTAAATTTGTTTTATATAAATTGCATTAGAGGAGATGAAATATATTTTCTTTTTAGTTATAATAGATGCAATTTGGTATAAGGTATAGATAAGGTTGTCTAATATTTAGATTGTTTATTGTTTGAGATTATTTAAAAAAGTTTTTAGACAAAAAGAATAAAGGTTAGTATTTGATGAAAGTGAGTTAAAAATAAAAAAGTTTAGTTTAAAA